ATTCTTCTGCCTCTGAAATATCAAAAGACAAGCTTGAAGTATATTTCCAGAATAATTCTAAATGAATAGCAGTTTATATATCCAGTACTCAATACTTCAGTATTTAATGATTATTTTATTTTATACATTTTCTAAAGGACTAAACTTGTCTGTTTGAGTCACAGAGCCTGAGCCCAAGACCATATAAGAGCCGAAGTAAATAACAGAAGCAGTGATAATGACTGAGGTTTGCATCTCAGCATCAGTTATGGATTTTCGTGGATTGAAATATCTTCTAGGTATGTAACAAAAGGGTAACTGCTTGGGTCACAATGTGAGTTCCTGAAAGAAAGAGGGTGCTCCTTCCAGAAGGAAAGGGCAGATGGTGCCTTATGTACCAGTAAAAACTGCTGCAAGGGTTTTTTATGAAGAGGTCTACACAACAATGAATCAAACGTGCATATTGGGCTGTGAAATGTAAGACAGCAGGAGAGGAAATGGACTGTAACAATTATTCTTGCACAAATGTTTAAGTGGAATCCCTCTCTCCTCACTGAAGTTGTTAAGCAATATCAGCCCCCTGCGCTGTGGAGGCTGTGGAGCCCTGTTGTATTGTTATCCAAGGTCACTCCTGTAGATCATCTCCTTGTGACAGAGTCATATGTACTGTCTGGGACTTGCAGAAATCTTGGAGCACCCCGGTAGGATAAAAGATTCTTGTATTCCCTGTAATGTGTTTCTCTTTCAGTTGTGAGGACACATATGGACATGGTTGGGAAGGGCCTTATTATTTCATACAGTTGTATGTGCCTCAAACTACAGAGATACCCTGAAATGGGAGACAAACATCTACTACTGCAGTAGAAGAGTAACAGCCTGTATATTCATTTCAAGACACCCAGTGAAATGGCAGTTTATATTTGCACATGGTGCAAATTTGGAAAGAACATTGTTTCCAGCAAGCTGTACTTTTATAAATTGCACAATACAGCAAAATGTATGGTAGAAGAAACATCCCAGACCTAAAAAGAAGGAGATAATAAAATTATTTTTTCCTTAAGTTCCAAGAGATTTTTGAAATTAGATAATTAGAGGAAATATTTTTTCAATTGAATTACATGAAAATGCTGAAGTACTACATTCCATAAGTTGACAATGCATTGACTGTTACATTTTCTGCAAAGGAAAAGCTCCTAAACTGGATTCAAGGTTTTATCAAATAACTTTGTCTATTAATTGTTATTAAATAGTGTATAAGTCAGGCAAGATAAAAATGAAGGTAATGGAAAGATACTTTTGATGGCAAGGAACTTGCATTTCTTTCAAATTGAGGACAAATATGTATGTTTAAATTTTAGGAATTGGAGTGCTCTGAACTTGTAACGTGTTGGTGTTTATAACATGATTCTTAGAATGAAATCTTTATTATCACAGAATTTTCTACATCCTTTTCTGATCATAAGTGTAGCTCACCTAGAAAGATATCACAGAAAAACAGAAACAATGGAAAGAACTTTGATTCAGTAGTATGTAGTATCTACTGTCTGACTTCACAACTTGATTTCAGCAAAGAGTGAGTTTGTTGCAATTCAGCTACTTCCTTTGGGAAACAAACGTTTACTTTTCAGGATTTCGTCAGAATTCCAGAAGGACTGAAAAGCAAGGCAAAGGCTCCATGTACATTGTTCAGACAAGAAATGCTGTTCACAGACATCCAGCGCACGTGCATCCTTTTGATGTGAAATGGTCTAGTACTCCATCTTCAAATGCTCATTGTAGAAATGGGAATTTTCTTACATAAATAGTATTGGACAGGTTTTAGAAACCTACAGCATAGTATTTCTCCTAATGCTGCAAATTGGAGTGATTGTATTTCTACATGTAGAGTTCTATAAACTTAAAGAGAAAAAAAAAGTGCTACTTTATTAAGTTAATTTTTTAAAAGTTCAAATGTTATATCTGAGAGCACTTAAGAAATATGTGCATGGTACATAAAGGAAAGTGGGATTTCTCTTTTGTTTCCCTTAAGAGAAAATGTTGTTTCTTATTTGACTCTAAACAGATTTGTTGGGGACAAAGTGTATGTGCATGAGTGAGAAAATAATGCCAGTCAGCTGGATATGATGATTCTACGAGAAAATAATTTGCTGGAGAATCTGGGGCATTTCTTCAAGGTCTTGTATTCAGAAAAAATATTTCACCATTAAGTGAGAAATAATATAAGCATCCAACTCCCTCAGATGATGCTGAGCAAGCAACCAATAAACAAAAACAAGTACAAATCATTCCCATGAAGACCAGACCCGAATAAGCCTTTCTTTGGAATCTTTCTGAATGGTTTCTCTGGTGCCCAGTAATGTCACTGTGCAGACTCAGCAGCTTTTCTGACTGTAGGGGTGATAACCTTCGGTCTTCTCTTAATCCAGTTGTTTATTTTCCAAATTACTTAGGAGCTTGCTATGTACAAATTTTCTGTTCCACCAACAAATATGGTTGAATTTGGTAAACAAGCTCAAATTTATTGGCAAGCTGGGAAATACAGAATCACAGAATGGTTTGGGTTGAAAGTGACGTTAAAGATCATTCAGTTCCAGTCCTCCTGCCATGGGCAGGGACAACTTCCCCTAGACCACATTGCTCAAAGCACCATCCAACCTGACCTTGAACACTTCCAGGAGTGGGGAATCTACAGATTATCTGGGCAACATATTCCAGTGCCTCACCACCCTCACAGTAAAGAATTATTTAGTAATATCTAATATGACAAAATAACATGACTGTGGGCCAAATAAAACCTTTGCCTGCACTCACATTCCCAATCCCAAGCAGGACTGGCTCCCCTTAAAGTTTGAAATACCAGAAATTCCTCGGAATTTGTTATAATGCTGCCATTTTCAAGTCCAACGCATGTGCAATTGTGATATTGGTGGTGGTAGTTCCACCAACAGACACCTTTTTGTCTTACCCGAATTCCAGACTTTCTCTGGAGCTGATGCTTGGAGGGATGGGGAGCATGTGGAGGACTACTTCCTTCAGATTCTTATCTCTACCTCTAATCCCCACACCTTAAATCTATCAGGGTATGTATAGCCTGGGCTGCCCCAGCCAGGCTGCAATCACAATGTGTGCAGTTGCTCCAAGTTCTAAGAGTCTGCTGCAGGTGATAAAGCACAGACAGCTATTGGATGTTTACAGCTTTTGAAAGGAAAGATGAGTTAGAATCTCATTTGGTGTAGGTTTTTCCACTGAACATAGCTATTAACTGATTTTCAAATGCCTTTGGTATTTGTTAGTTTTCAGTTTTCCCAATGGCATTGTGAAGATTAGATAGACTGGAAGTACCATCAATTTGTGGATCTTGTACGTTCACTATACTGATGAAGTTTAAAAGTGCAACTACTTCAGATTCCAACTGTGTCATTGCCATCAGTTACTCTAGTCCTTAAAATGCTTACTTGTACTTAACAATAAGCAGCAAAAAACTTCATGGAGGATGATGACTTTTCATTTCTTTAACACAAGAAGTGGCATGGAATCCTATTTTTTTGTTTGCATTTTTTTTCCAAGGTCAGTTAGTTAATTTTTCAATTGTAAAATCATTTGTGTCTGTGATAGTTTCAGTCTAGGCCTTCCTGGAGACCAACCTGTAACCAGGAAGGAACTAGGAAAGTGACCAAGGAAGTATTCCATGCTATTCCTTTACGTAAACGGAGGTATGAACAAAGCCGGTCAGAGAGACCTCTCTCCCTCTTCTTCCAGCAAGGTTTGGGAATGGTAGGTCCCTGTCTCGGCCTTGCTTATCTGGAGCTGAGGCCTGCAGCGGCTGCTGTTGTCTGTCACGTGTGAGGGGAGAGTGCTGGGCCGTGTCCAACCGTCCTGCTTTTCTCAAGGGAAGTGGTGAGAATTTGCTAGTTCTTTATTTTGTTAGTTACCGGGGTTTTCGATTGTGCATACCTGTTTTGTTTTTGTCCGGTTTTGTCCCTTTTTGTCCTTTTTCCCATTTTCCCTTCCCCTCTTTCCCTTTTGGGAGCGATTTGGGATTCTTATGTTCATATGTACATAGCACCTTAATTGTATATCTGTAATATATGTAAAATATATATATATTATATAGCTTTTGCTATTCTGTTTTTTTTCTTCTCTCTCTTTTGCGAGCTTTTCTTCTGTAGTCTATGGGGTTTGGTGGGAAGCCAATGACAACTGGCTACAGCCTCTCCCAGACCAAGACTAATGCTGGCAGTGTTTTCAAGCAGCTCTGCTACTGGTATCTCCACAAGGGATTCCTTTAACAGTAGAGACAAAAAGTACAGGTGAATATCACAGAATCAGGGGCTTGCTTTGACAGAAACCTTGAACCACATCTTGTTCCTCAATACCAATAAGTTTGTTGTTCATTCCCAGCTTTCCTATAAGAAAATTTATGACTAAGGCAAGATCAACAAGTTGAGAGCAACTTGTATTCATGATTGCAAGTTGTATTTTTTCCTTACCTTACGTTATTGCATTTTTGTCCCATGGGGATTTCTGGTGGATAAACATGGCTAAAGAAAATTCACAAATTTTACTTAATGTTTCACAAATTATTTTTCCTATAACCTACATATTCCATTAAAATGGTCTCAATGTTGCAGCTTTTAACCATGTTTGCTTTTTTAAAATAAGTTAAATATTCATGAAGATTTTAAAATTAAATAACTTCAGATTTTTCTTTGAGAAAATTTTTTCGTTTTTATCATTGCCACTAATATTAGTATTCCGAATAGATATTGTAAGAACTAGAATAGACTGAAATAGTCTGAAATTTTAAAAATGAAAAGAGTTCATAATTATATTTATTGGTGCACTGAGTTCTAGATGACAAGGGGAATTATTTAGTCTGAACATTTTCCCCAATGAATATGAAAATAAAATAAAAATAGACTCCTCCATTTGTTAGAAATTACCTTATAAGAATTGATGCTGTAATTACAAGCCTTGTGTAACCCTGTGTGCCAGTTATCTTACTGAGCCGAGCATATTTAACAGATGAAGTTGAAGAAGTCAAGCAAACATTTTGCAAAACAAGTCAAAGATCTTCTGAACTGAGCCATGGCAAAGTCCTGTCCTTCGGGAGAGGGGGAGCTTGTTGTAAGTATACAGTGTAAATGTTCCTGAGTAATTTCCTTTCTGACTTCCATAAATCACAGAGTACTTTAATTGCGAATGCATTACCAGCAGACCATGGCCTAAACAGGATTATGGATTTGCATTTGTTCATAAGATTAGCCCACGTTTTTGTAGTTTACTTAAGATCCTTTCAAATGTTTTTCTCTTATCTATAAACTACTGATTGCGTTTCAGGCTGCTTAATTATTAATCTCTATTAAACAAACATAGTAATTAAATATTACTTGATATAAAACATACTTTTGTTAAACTCTGAGTTCATTTTCTGGCTAAATGAAATGAGAAGTAGGAGAGGAAAAGACAAATATTGAACTTTTCTCATTTAAATTTCACTTTTTCCAAGTTCATAAAATAGTTGTAAAAATGAATTCATTTTGCAAACTTCTGATATTTTACAAAGATGTTTCCATCCAATATACAATCAGTCTGCAAGTTCTAGAAATGTTTTTTAAAACCTAGTTTGAAATAGGATGATTAGTTCAGATTGCTCGAGTCAGTCATATGGTGTTCATTCTGTTAATTAAGTTATTCTTAATGAATTCTGAATCTAATCCATTTAGTTAGAGGGTTTCAAAAACCAATGTTTGTTTTTCAGGAGTCTTTACAATACAGGAAAGTAGAATAACCCACTCTTCACAGCCATGGTACATAGAACAAGATGTAACCAGTTTAACTTACAAAGAGGGACAATTTTGTTATATATTAGGAAAAAATTCCCACAGTTGAGGAACAGAATAAATTTTCAGAAGAGGTTGTAGAGTCCCGGTCAATGGAGGATTTAAAACCAGAAATGCACATGCCTGTAATGGTGAATATGTGGACCTTGTGTGGGCATGTGGATATATTAAATGTGTTAGTAATATAATCTATGACCCTTTTTAATGTTATTCTGTGATTTTATATCCTTTTCCTAAGGCACCTGCAGATTCGCCGTAGGACACTTAGTGGTGTGGCATGGAAAGAGGTACGTACAGAAGGACGTGCTGCTTCCAAAGCAGTGTGGAAAAGGAGAGTAATAAATGACAGTGAGTAGGAACTCACAGTATATATAACAGATATTGCTTGTATCACTTAACATACCACTGGCAAATGAGTAGAATTTAGTGATGGAAAGGTTATAAAAACTAGACTAGAAAAACTCACCCAGGCCAGCACAATAAGGAAGGGACACATTCTTGACTGTTCCTTCATCTACAGTGGAAAAGAACAATCCACCTGCAAAAGCGAGTCCAGAGAAAGGCAGGCAGTACGTCCTTTTCCAGAAGAAAACTCACCAAATGGTGATGAGAAAATTAAATTTTCTGTCAAGGCAGAACATGTGATAATACAGTTGAATGGAAGTGTGGTGGTCTGTGTGGAACAGGGAACTGGTATCATCCTTTGTGTACTCCAGCAGCCATTCATCATGAGATAATAATTAGAATTTTGAGATGATTAGGCTAGCTGAAAGCTTGCCTTTGCACAGATTGTTTTGCTGTTGTTTATATTTCCTGTACTTGTATATTTTATGGCTTGGATAAGTAAACAATAAAATCTGCCTTAACTCTATTTTATAACTTCTAGTAATAAATAATATTTTGGACATATTTTGGGATCCTGCTGGGTTACAAATTAGCCTGCCTGCTACTCTTCTATATCAGTACTAATGCCATCTACTTTCCATAGAGCAGTGCCAGAAGTTCTTGGAGGTCATCTGCTCTGCTGCTAACTCATTTTGGTTCCTGTCTTGTGTTGAAAGCTGGTGAAGATGTTGTATTTCAAGACAGGAGTATGCCTTGAAGAAGATATTTCTGGCAACATTATCTACAAGCTAATCAACAAAAATCAAGTGCCTGCTACTAAATTTGCAGGGTCTGCAGGATTTTTTCCCTCTAAATATCCTGGCTCGAAGTTTTAATGTAACTGCTTATTAGTCAAAACAATGAGAGGAGCTTTAAGGAACTGGAGGCAATGCACAGAGGGCCCTGTTAGCACACTGACAGTTAAGTGAAGCCATGTGAAAGGGGAACATTTAAAAGACTGTACAGGACTCACACACCAAAATGAAGTTGCCATGGATACGGGTGTTATGTATACATATCCATCTTTATCGAAAAACACTGTAGAGGCTGAACTTAATCTAAGTATAAGGCTTGGGTAAGAGAAAGGTTGTTGTGCAGAGCAGTGAGGATGGAAGTAAAACAATCTCTTCTTTGGTGAGAGGTATTGATGGACTAGAAACAAAAGCAAAACAATAAAGCAGTTGAGCCAAGATCATGCACACAACAGAACACCTTCACCACAGAACCTGAATGTGTACAATAAAATACCCCACAATGACAAAAGTCACAGGGGAAAATAGAAAAGGGTGTTTCGTTGGTTCATTGAAATTAGGGTTAAAAATTCTAGTAGCTTCACTGGAGCCATATGTTTTATTCTTTTTTTTTGTAAATACTTTTAATCACCTGATTAATGCCAGAATTTCTGACAAATGCATGTGGCCAGAGAATATCTTTTACTGAGCAATTTTCTTCCCTTCTTTTTTTTTTCTAATTTCTTTTTCATAAACATAATTGCCATTGAAATAGGTGGTTATAGAGCTGTCCTTGTCTGCTGATAGGATCACAGAGGAGCTGAGGAGGTAGCCCCTACTGGCAGGAGGTGCCAGTTTCCAGAAGAACATTTTTTGCTCTGTAAATAGTTAGAAGGTACATCTCCTACCACAGGCCAGAGCTTTTGGTATTTCTTCAAAGAAGGGCTAAGAATAGATCCTTATATACATGACCAACAAAGTTTTGCATAGAAATTTCAAACTACAAAAAGTGTTGTAGAGTTTCAAAGCCATCAGTCACCGAAAAAAGTTCCGGTGATAAGTGCATTTGAAATGTCTGGGACATGAAGAGCTGTTACAGTTATGGGTTGTTTAAGAAACCTCATGGTAATGTTTTGGGCTTACAGTCTCTGCCAAGCACAGTCATGTGGCATCTACTGGATTTCAGGAGGACATGAAAATCTACTTGTTTGGTCCATTTGGCCATCCCCTTCTCTTCTGGTGAAATATTCATGCAAAACACTTTATGAGTTTCCACATTCTTCTCTCTTCCACTAGACTCACCACAAGGCCACACATACTGAAATGGCCAAAGAAGAGCATTGCAGCTGTTTCCTTACTGCATACAGAATGTTTTTGCAGGTATTGACCCTGTGCTGAGTTGAGAAATGTGTCTAGACCAGGTTCATCAATTTGGAGCAACCGTTTAGGAGGCCATTGCTCCCAAAGATACCTCCAGGTCTCAGGGACGTGACACTCCCAGGGAACCTCAGCGGACTCCAGCAGTCTCTCCTGCTCAACTTGCTGAGTGAAAATGAGTGAACAGAGGTAGTGGAAACCAGGTCAGTGCCTCACATGTCATTTGGTGGTCTTTCAGTTGTTGATTGCTTTCTCCATTGTAAGGTCTTTTGATTTTAATCGGATCATTGTGTGCACATATGGATATTCCTGGTGGCCTAACCAGTGAACATAATTAAAAGAAATGATTGCCTTTCACTTTAAGCAAACATCTGGTTTTACTTGAAACAAGATGACTTAGCTGTTTCAGAAACATTCTTGTAACCCTGGATTCACATTTTCATCTTAAAATATATATTTTCTCTGTTCAAGCAGCATGTTAATGTAAACACTATATATAACTGACAACCAAAATTTTCAGAAGTATTTGGTGCTCTGAGCATTAGTGAAACCACAAGAATTATTACATTTTTGATTTGATCTCTGTAAATCTGTTTCAACAGTCACTCTGATTTAAACAATTATTCTGATTTATATTCCAAGAACTATAATTTGCAGAAAATGTAACCATGTGAAAACATGTTTTTGTATAGTATATCTTGGCAACCTTGTTTTGTTGTGATGTCATTGCCTTAGGTTTCATGGAAATACTGAGGGAATAAAAGGAAAACAAGACCCTTTCTTTGAAGTATATTCGCATATCCCCGCTCTCCACCACTAAAAATATTTTAATGTCTTTTTTTCCATAATGACACTGAATTTTCTGCTATTGCTTGACTGACAAGATGGTCAGAAACATACTAAAGGCTCTCATGAAGGGAATTTAATTGAGAGGGAAGGATTTGTCACCTTTCACTTCTCCCTATCAGGTAGGAATCATCATTTGTATAATGAGCTATTTTGAGATCCTGGGTTTCTTTGCTTTCATGTTGTTACAATGATAGATTCTAAACAGTTAAACACAGGCATGTATGCAAGGTACACAGAACAGAGAAAATGAAATTTCAGACCATTTATCAACTGCAGAGGTAACATTGGAGCTTTATCATTAAAAGTCTATCTAATCTGGTTTATTGTAACATCTGAGAGAAGATGACTGTGCTTTATTAAACCAATAGCTCTCATTCACTTCATCACATCTGCTCTTTCTAAAAAAAATAAAATAAAATAAATACAAAGTTATTAAGAGTAGCCCTTCATTATAAAAAGCATAAGTTACAGCTACATACAATAGAATGAAAAATGGCAAAAGAAAATGCCTTCATATGGAAACAATCCATCTGGATACACCTATATATGCTATATGGGGATTTCCAGTACTATTAAAAAGGTTATCCCTAGTACAAGATATTAAAAATATGCCTTGTATGATTTAGGGGTTTTAAACATCTCCGGTGTTTTTACTGAAAGAAAAGGAAAAGAGAGAATGGGGAAAAAGGAAAGCATCACATTCAGAGACATTCCTAACTGGCTTCACATTTTTCTTTTTCCAGCACCAACAAGAAAATGCATGAGACACAAGCTCATGCATGTCAGATGTGATCATATGCTAAAACAAATGACACCACTTGCTAATTTCATTTCCCCAGCACGTGCCTTTGTGCCTGTGTCTGGCTGTTAGGAGTCTGGGATGTTTGGAAACTGCAGATTTTTCTTATCTACTTAGCTGCACAATGAACTACAAGGAATTTTTCTATTGGGGCTGATTGTGCACTAAATCACCTTATTGTTAATCCTGAGCAATGTAGTTGATTTCGATGTATCTCTTACCTGATTAAGAGAATAGCTGGAGAACTGAGCTACCGTTACTGACCCTGTAAATATCATCAGCCACCGTACTCAGCTACTGTGAGTTGTCCCTTTTGCCACTCTCTACCAGGCAAGGGACTAGACAAGTGATGTATCCTTTGACTAATACTGAGTCTTCATAGGATCAGATGGTCAGTAGGTATTTTTAAAATGCAATTTTCAAGGAGTTAAAAGCCACAAATAATTTCTGTTTGCTATTAAATTAAATTTATTATTTAGTCTACCTTTACATATCTACTTTTCAATATATTATTATCAAAAAATCCCTTTTATATTGTGAATTGGCAACTATTTCAACTCCACCTTCAAAAGTAAATGAGCAAAATGAACATTGGACATGACCTCAGCACTAGTCATATACTATATTCTAACTACTGAAGGCAATGTTCTATAAATCTCTACAGCTATATCCATAGATTTGAGTAATATACCATATTTCCTTCAAAATGCCAATCATGGACTATGTCTCTAGTAAATTTGGTACTTGGTACAATAAATAAAATTAATGTTCATGTATTAAGAAGAGTCACTGTAAATCATCGCTCCCTCTTTAAGGACTATTGCTTTAGCAGTCAGTGTAGGAAATGAAGTAGTTTTGGGGAGTAGGAAACAGTAAGAGTTGTAGAGTACATTTGAAACTTGAGTTTAAGCTGATCTCAGCCTACCTCCACGTTAGTCATTTCAAGGTCTGCTGCAGGTGGTCTCCACACAGAAGCTCAAAAGAGGCCATTTGTGCCAAAGTGTGGAGCTAGGAGGGGTAAGTGATGGAGCATTCACAGGGAACAATAGAGCTTTCATACTATGGAGTGGAGAACCAAGCTGAGCAACTTGGAAAAATGTTAGTGAGTAGAAGACAAAAAAGAAGCAAGTAATTTAAAAAAGCATGTAAGAAAAGGAAGCACAGACTTTGTCTCTAGACAAACATGGAAACAGTTCCAGAAGAGATACTGATAAATTGCTTATTTTCTGCTGAAATATTCTTCATAAAATAAGTAGAGTCTAATCCCAGCTGAAACAGCACTGTCAGCATTGACATTTTTTCCCAGTTCTACTTCAGTTGAAATTTATTATTCATTTTAATTGTTATTGCACTCCTGAAGTTTCTCCTTTTTCCTAGTCCCATCACTTTCTCTAAAGTTGGCTTTCCACCCTGCTGGAACTTAAAACTGAGGGTTAAGTCTTGGCGCTGCTGAAGTTAATATAAGTTTAGCCTCTGCAATGAGGTCTGGATTTTACATAGATGTTTAGGAAGTTCTGCAGGAGCATTCATGCCTTTACTCAGGCTTTTTTCAGTTAGGTATTAGAGTCTCTTTCTCCCCACTGATCTACAAGGAGCCCAGTTTATTATTTGACATTAGGGACTTACTTTGCATTCCAAAGTGTCATTGATATTATCTCATTCTGAATTTCAACAGTTAAGTGAAAGAGAAGTTATGAACTGAATGTCCTTCAAGTTTTGTGTAAACCTGGGATAGAGGAGGTAGCAATCTCCTCTAGACATGACAAACATGGGGTGAAGGCAACCCATGAAGATAGGTTGTGAGATTTGGGGCTGTTCAGCCTGGAGAAGAGAAGGCTCAGGGGTGAACTTACAGCACCTTCCAGTACCTGAAAGGTACTGGTACCTGAAAGGTACAAGAGAGCTGAAGAGGGACCTTTGACAAGGGCCTTAGTGATAGGACAAAGGGGAATAGCTTTAAACTAACAGAGGGGAGGTTTAGATTAGATGATATGAATAAATTCTTTACTGTGAGGGTGGTAAGGCTCAGGCATAGGTTGCCCAGAGAAGCTGTGGATGCCCCATCCCTAGAAGTGTTCAAGGCCAGGCTGGATGGGGCTTTGAGTAACCTGGTCTAGTGAAAGGGGAGTTGGAACTGAATGATCTTTAAGGGTCCTTACAACCCAAACCACTCCGTGATTCTAAGTAGTGCAGAAAAAGTGTAAATAATGTTGTGGTGGCAAACATCAATTTTCCTGACTTGTGAGAGCTAAGGTCACTGAAAATTATGGATATCCTACTAGGGGATATCTTTAACTATTGTCTTTGTTGTGTTTCCCCAAAGAAGACCACGTCTAGTTGTCCTGGACTGTGGGTTTGTATGAGAATAATAGAAGCAAACAGAGTCAGGAGATCCCATTTCGCGTAGGAGAAATGTGAACTCAGAAAATTGCCCACTTTCAAACTGTGCTTGAAGATAATGGTTGTGGCTTTGCCAACTTAATTTCTTTGGGTAGTTTGGTGTTCTTCTGCTCTGTGGTTAAGCTAGGAGTCATACTGTAGCTCACAGTAGAAAAAGGGATCACAATTTATAACTCATCTTTTATGGATAAAAGCTACGTACTATATCCCCTTAGTGCAGCAGACTAGATTTTGTTGCACAGATATGGCTTCAGCAGAGCAAAACAAATTCAGCAAACAGTTGATCATTACTTTAGTGGTGTTACTGATGGAGTGGAAGACAGCCACGTGCTTAGATTTTTGCTGAATTAGGGTCTAATTCTACTGCTTTCTTCTCAGAATGTATTTAAAACAAATTTGGAACTAAGCAGTGGAAAAAAGAGCTTGAACATCTCATACCTGGTATTCCATATGACAATCTTAATGAATTTTCCTGTAGAAGTAGTCTGTGTCTGACTTTGCTTTTGAGTTCGGTCACTGATACAAGTAGCACTCGTAGTGTCATTTCCAGGTGACAGATTGACAGTGGTACGAGTTGACTGTGTAAGAGCAACAGTTCAACTACGTGAATGAAAGACTGGCAGTGTCATTCAGCTGTTGTTGATGGAGGCTTATTGCTGCTTTAATAGAGGAACTGTCTTCACAAAACTTGAAGTCCAATAATGAGAAAAATCCTACAATATTTATAAGTCTCAGAAACACTGCTTTTGGCCTCTTCAAGTGCTATTACCTCTACAGTATCTTATTGAGAAGTGATCAGAAAGCATTTGTATGTTGTCAGCTCTGTATAGGATACATAACCAATTTTTTTACAGGGCAAAAGGGTCCTAGTTGAGAGACTCAGAGTATCTCGACACAAGTTGAGTTTAAGATTTGCTGGTTTACTATTTCCCCACAGGAAATCAGGGAGTAGAGTCACATGAGGGAACTGACTGCATTACTGAGGTTGTGGACCCGAAAATTTTCATAACCTATTCTGTGTGTAAGATAAAATTCACTCTTTCACTGTTTGATTTTTAGGGCTTCTGAAATCAAACAGAGTGAAATTTGGCAGAGCTCATCATGGATCTGAAGTCTATTTCTACTAAATAAATTAGTGAATCGGTGACTAACATTAGAACTAAATCAGCATGAGATTACAATGCATGCAAATTGCTGCCACTGCAATGATATGTGCGATTAAAACAGGTATGCAGAGTATTTATAGGACTGATGGAAGCATTTGTGCCATTTATTGTGCGTTTAATGATCAAGTAGAGGGCAAAAGTAGCATCGTGCTCCGTGACATGACGTGAGAGGGGCTTTGACATTTTGCTACTACAACACACAAGTCTCAGGTTTGGAATGCTGCCCTGGCTGGAAGAATTGACATCCTCACCAGCTATAACATGGCCGATCTACACTGTCTCCTCTTCTCATTAAAGCCATATATACAGCAGACATATGCTTATACTGGCTTATTGCCCTCTCATGTAGGAAGGGGAGTGTGGAAGAGTGTTTTGAGACACACATATGCCTGTGTGCATGCCAGCCTACACGTATAATATTCCTTGCAGAGCAAAAATTACACCCTGTGTTCTTCACAAAGGTACCTATTAATGTAGAATGTCATTGAGCCATTTAACGCTATAAGGCAAGTAGAGGCTGAGAACATCACAACTGTTAAGAATACTAGGGCACCAGTGGAGAAGTGGTAGGAAAATGAGGAGAATATTTGGTTAAGGTCCACAGCAGGCAAGTCACAGCTCCCCCATATCCCTCTGCTTGCGTTGATGGGCACCAGTTGCGCTCACAGGTCTGCACACCAAATTCCCCTCCTGGGACAGGAACGATAATTTATTTGACAGCACCGTGTGGAAGCTGTGAGGTGGTTTCACTTTCCCCTTCCACAATCAGCCTTTTCCGTTTGTATGGGAAACAAACCACTTCTGTGAAAATTCCCCAAATCTCTGGGTGAGTCAGGCTAAGCTGGAGCACATTAGCATTTCTCCATCAGAGTTAACTGGAACCTAGACAGGCTAAAGGTCAAACGAAGCAAACAGTGATCTCAAACTCCCAGAACAAAAAAAGAGAAACAAGAGGACAGGTATACTGTCTGAAATATTACCAAGTTATTTAATAAACTAACTTAAATTTTAAATTTGGCAGCTTTGCTCAGTACTGTCCAAACATAAGAGTTTTGAAACATTACATTGGGTGAATCAGTCCCTTTTTTTCCTGATGATGTTTTAAACTCTTTCCCCTTGTGAGTGAACAGGTCTGCCACAGAGGCCTTCTGTTTAAGTATCCTGAAAGATATTGCATATATCCTTCTGGTTCGCTCCTTCAAGACCTGAAGAGACTACTGTGACCACATTGTATAGTGTGTTACAAAGAACGCTATTAAAAATTACTGAAGTCAGGTCTGGATCAGTTGTGTCACCCACATGTGAGCTCAGGCATACTCTGAGAAGACCTTCAGTCTTGAATCAAAGGATGGAGGGTCTGTCCTAGAAAAGCTGTTTCAAACATAAGTTGTTCTGACCCTGTGAAATGTTTGTCTCACTTTTATTCTAAATGTTGGGGGAGATTTTTCAGGCTGGAAGAACATTTGCACTACAAGTCTTTATTTCTCAGGTGAAATTGAGCTTTTCTAAAGTGGACATATAATTTTGTGTCCCCTCCATTGTCCCTGAGATGTGCCAGTCATACACAGCCCTGCACACTCTTGTGCTAAATTATAAGCTGACGGTGTGCACAGAGACAATTGCAGCACTTAGGTTTTCTGTTGTCTGTTTTAACTTATTTTAAATGATGAATCAACCAGGATAACAATGAAGCCTGGAAACCAGTTCCTGGCTTCCAGAACTATTCTACTCAGTCCCAATTCCTGCAACTATGCATTTGCACATGTGCCTAATACACACATAAATCTATATGGTAGATATATATTTCCACATTCATTAATTTTCCTATACATATAATATATATATAAGTCCCTACATATAGTAAACTATATTTTACATAAAAAGGGCCTGGCTGATTCAGACCCTTCCAGTCTGGCAGAGGAGCATCATCTCTCAGACCAAATTAGGAAACATTTCTCACTCACCTACTTTTTTTGGCCTTTCTGCAGATACCATTATAACATGCGTGTTCAGAGCTCCAGGTTCCTCCTTGTGTTCAGGTTTTGGGTTGGGTGACTGCAGAAAATATGAAGTTAAAACACAAAGTTTAAACACCTTGGCTGAGTCTTATTCTCTTTGTTTTCCTTTCATTGTGTCATGGTCTGCTCCAGTTTTTCTGTCATCATCACCAGTGCACCAGGCAAAAGTAATGAAACAACAAAGATATTTCACAAAATGCAACAAATACCTCACCCTTTTGGATCTTTTTGGACCCCCCTTTGGACCCTACCAGTGTTGCCCTAAACTTTTGTTTTATAAGAATCAAGTCCCAAGAATCTGTTCAATTCTTAATTAATAAACTGTGACTTTAGTGTTACCTATTTGGATTTGATAAATTCAGATGAACTCAGAGGTAATAAACCTGATCAAAAAAAGTATTTTACAAGAACTGAAGCAAAATGAAGCCTTTTTACAGAGGATTATTCAAGAGAAACTTATGCTGACAAAAAATTAAAGTACAATGCAAAACTGGACTTTTTGAGATACATTAAATGGCTGCAAATTTTATATATTAATCCACAGAATATTCCATAAAACAATGGTGCCCTCTTTAATGAAATTTTATTAGAGAAACAGACCTGTCAGGGGAATACATTTTTATATCCAGTTAGGTTTTGCATTTAACAGATTCCCGCTTTGTATATTTTTCTGTGGTAGCTGCTAAGTAAAATATATATACTCTTGAATGTTTGCTTACTTCTGGAATGGGAAATTTCCACACAATTTAGTGATTTAAGAACTGATTCTAATCTAATAATAATATTAAAAAAAAAATTTTGGGAATGCTCAATGTCAGTCAGTTTGTTGAACAACAGCCTTTGTTCATTTAGGTCATCATGTAGTTTCCAGAGTCTTTCCAGAGTTTTCTAGGGGGCCTGAGCTGCACCCTGGAGCCACCCGTGTGCCAAATTGCTGATCTGACTGGTGCTTGGGCTTCATTAGACCTTCTGAAGAATTGCTCTGGGAATTTATCACTTTTCAGTGATTACTCAGTCATTCTTTCTCACTTTCTTTAGATGAATAATAAAGGAGCCTGATAATCAAGGTAGTCAAAGCCCAGGAAGAAGCACAGGAAGGCTCAGATAAATCATCATGTCACTATTCCTTGACAAGCTACAATACATGAGGTGCTCCCACTGACTGTGAACATACTGTTAGCACATGGATAGGGCAAGGTAATGCAGCATAGCTGTCAGGGACAGAGCATTTAAAGCTGAATTATATTTACAATAGTGCACACATGGGGAATTGCAGCAGCTCCATTGGTACCTTTTAACTTGTTGATTAGCTGTCACCATCAGGGATTTGGTCATCTCTCAGCTTCACAGTGCCCCACTAGCCATAGACACAGGTAGAAGATTTTAAAAAAGAAGATATTCCAAATCACAAGTCACTCACACAAATCCTATTCCTAATATCAATGATCATGAGAGAATGCAATAATCCTGAGGAGCAAGTTTGATTAGGAGTTTGCAAGCCAAAGAGCAAGCAAAAATCATTAGTTTCTTCCCAAGAGCAAACAAAGTTCATAAATTTCTTCCCAATTACAATAAATCAATACCAGCAGCTTAGACATTTTGTTTTACCAGTTATGCACAGAATAATTTAGATTGGAGGTCATCCCGTCCCATCGCCTGCCCAAAGCAGGGCTGAATCCAAAGCTAGAGCATATTGCCATAGAATCAGAGAATGGTTTGGTTTGGAAAGGATGGTGAACTACAATTCCAGGGATGGGGCATCCACAGGCAGTGCCTTTTCCAATGAAGGGTATAAATGTATCCACAGATGGAAATTTTTCATGGTGTTGGTTTCTAATCAACAATTATCATAAATTGGCTATGCTTTCTAAAACCCTACTCTGATAGATAAAATTGTTATTTTCAGCCTCTGGACTGAAACCCAGAGTTCAACCCCAAACCTGATACAGGGTTTCATTTAAAGATTTTTTTTTTCTGAATGATTGAAACAATTAAAATTTTCTTCACAACTTGAATCCACAAGCAGAATTCCAATCTGGGTGTGTATTAGGCATTATTTTAATAGCAGAAAGTGCAGAAAAGGTGTAAAATCCAAGCTCCAGATCATTCTTCAGGTTAAATCAGCATTTTTTCCTTTGACCTAGTAGATCAGCAACTTTGCTACTCATCTTTGACATTTTTCACTGAATTATCTTCCTCTTCTGTACTATCCTGTTCAGCTATGAAAAAACAGAAAAGCCGCTTCCTGACAGTTTCACTTACAGTGACTCCAACCCTTTTATCACCTTTTAAAATGATAATAAAAAGTCATTCAGAAATTGTCTGCAAATACCTCCCATAGTACCTGATTCAGAGCAAGGTAATTAGAAAGAGCAATGGCTATTTCATGAAGATCAGAAAGTGTGGATGATGCCATCCGTCTTCACTTTCTAGGTTCTTGAAATACTTGTTCTGTAAGTAGCACTTTAGCTGTGTGGAGGTATAAGAAATAAACCCAAGTACAGGTGCTGCATGTTCTCTGCATTAAAAATGCAAAATGTCACCAACTCTGTAGCTGAAAAATGTCACCTCATCTGTTCTCCTTTGAGATTGGACCCAGTTCTAGATGTGTAATCCTTGGCAAGATGTTTGCCTTAAAGCTTAACTGAGTTGTAGTCTCTGTCTCATAAAATATTCTATAAAATCTCAATGAGATATTGTAAGGAAGCCTAAAGACACCCATTATACTTATTTCAAGGTCTTTTTACACTAGCCTAGCAGATATAAAATATCTGTAATACAAAGGAGAATACATGTACTGGATTCTAAAGCCTTTATTTTGTAGAGGATGGCACAAAGATTCTTTGTCAGAGTGCATAAATCCTGAATAATTCAGTTCCTTTGCGCGAAACTTACTGGAGCACTCCAACACAATGGTAGAAGTTACATTGTACCTCAAGAATTTCCTTCTGTTAAGGGATAGATCAATATTCATACTTGCAAAAT